TATAGAGGGATTACAGATGGGTCCTCTCATGCTTCAACCTACTTGGAAGCAATGGATGGAAGTATTTTGTATAGCAGAATTGTTTGTTAATAGCTGTAAGCATTATGGCACATGTAGAATTTAGCCTATGTGTTGGCTCTTGGTTGTGCCATCCCGAATGTAGCATCTGTGTTGGTTTCCTTTATTTTTCGAACCATAGAATGTAACTTGAGGCTGGAACTTGATCTATGAACAATTTTAGCTATGCTGAATTATATATGAAGACTGTAATGATGGTTGTCTGATGTATCATGACATCATTGATAATTATGTGGTGCGACTTAATGAGAACTATCTTATGTGATTACTATAATTTGAATTGTTAAATTAGTTTTCCTTGATATATGTCAACTGACAGGAAAACCTATGTCTAGACCGTCACGGCCAGTTTGAGTATTCCCTGACGGCTCATCGCTGTCAGGGAAGAATGTGACATGCTGTGACGGTTTGACAGCCGACAGGGAAAGTTCGAATATTTCCTGACGGTTGGCCACCGACGGGAATTGTTTTCCTGGTGGGGGCTTGAAAACCGACATGGAAAGTTTTCCATGACGGGAACAACCATTAGAAACTAGTCCGTGACGGTTTTTCGTCAGGGAAGGATGACTTTCTGTGACAGTTGTTTCCTAACGGCTGATCCCTGACGGTAACCGTCAGGAATAACCTTTCTCGACGGTTTTGGTCACTTTCCGTGACAGTTCTACCCGTCAGGAAAGAAATTGTTGAATATATCATGAGATATATTTTCATCATATGTTTATTTGGTGTCAATGACGTTGTTAGGGCATGTTTGGATCCATTAGCACTAAAAATTAGCTAGCTAAGAGCAACTCCAAAAGACTCTATATCATTCTTAAATGCTCGGAATATATATTTTAGTGAAAAATTACCCTCCAACAGCTTGTCTAAATGGTTATGCAAATATAGTCATCTTCTATTCCGAATTTTTCGTTAGCCAAAAATAGAAGACAAGAATAGTTCTTTAGAGTGCGTACGAGATATAGAAAAGTTGTGGGAGAATGAAAAGATATAGAAAGCGACTTTTATGGAAATGACTTTCCAAATCATGATTAGAGAGTGAGATTTAGAAAGACTCTTGGAGATGCTCTAATATCTGCTAATTTCTAGCTACCTATCTTTTAGCAGGGGTTTTGAATCCACCTGCTAATAAGTGGTTGGATAGTAAGTCAAAAGTGAATATAAACTATTAGCATCCATTATCAACTCCAAACCAGTTAATGAAACTAGTAGTTAATAGCTCCAACTAGTAATTAGCAAGTTTATTAGCAGGTCTGTTTGGATCCATAAGTACTAACTTTAGATGCTAACTTTTAGTGCAAATATGGATCAAAACATACCCTTATTCTTTTTCTATAAAATTGGTTCAACTTAAAAGATACTATAATTTTATATGATTCTAGGAATGAATTTATTTTAGGGCAGAGGGAGTAGCACATTAGATTAGAAGATATGAGTGGCCGATTCTAGGTTCCAAGCCGTTGCCAAGCACCTCACCACCACCACCTCAAGACCTCCTTCCTCCACAGCATCGCCACCGGCATCAAGAAGGAGATGGCCTCATCCATCGTTTATAGTTAAGCATTTTTCAGGTTTAGTTTGTTTATATTTATTAACAAATAAATCTATTGGCAAAATCATCACTAATGTTTGCATGAGAGTTTGTTACATGAGATGACTTCGACGACAACGTAACAACGATTGGATCACTGACACGAGAGTTGGTTTCATCGCTAGGTCAAATTTTTATTAGTATTTGCAAGGGCAAGGGTGCCCGTGGGCATTCCTCCTGAGGATATTAACTCCGGGTCATTGAACACGTCATCGATAGCTATGGAGAGGAAATCAGGCATCCAACTTGATGGGTCAATGTTTTTTTTTTCGGGTAAAGAGAGCTTTATACTAACCAGGCAAAGTGTTACTGTCAGTGTTTAAGAGATCAGTGACACACGCAGGTGCCCGTATCCACCACATAGCCGTATGCACATTTCGCCTAGCTAAATGAGCCAACTCATGCGCTAACTTGTTGCACACTCTCTTCACCTTATGGAATTTCCATTCCACTAGCACTTGCAAACACTCCTTGGCTTCCAATATGATGAACCTGAGTTCTGATCTATCCAAGGTATCTGCTTCCAAGGCTTTGAGCACGGTAGAACAGTCCGATTCAATGATCATCGGTCCTGGACACCATTGGCCTGCAATTCGAATGCCCTCATCACAAGCCTGGGCCTCAGCTTCTTCTGCAGAAGCACATCTGAACAAAACAGATGGATCAAGGGTTGAAGGTGCTGAATTTACAACCTCGCTACTATAGAACGTACACACAATCCCTACCGGCCTATCACTGCCAATCGCTTCGCCACTGACAGTCATATATAGAGCTTTCACTATGGTTGAGAAAAAAACAGCATCACTACCGGTTTTTAACGACTAACAATGACATGAGGCATGGATCCGAAAATAACATCAAATTCAATTAACTCTGACCTCCTTTCTATCAAAACCGATGAAGTGACACCCCCTTGATTCCGTCGCCCCTTTGTGTCAAATTTCCCCCTTTTTGGTGTTTGTTTTCTTTTTTTTTTAAATGGCATCATCGCCCGTTGAGCAGCCGACAGTGAACACCAAGGCTAACACTGTCAATTACTCATAATAAACTTATTTGGGGATACAAATGTTGCTAAAAGTTTCTACAAATCTAGTTAAATTTAAAAAAGTTTGACCGACACGAATACCATAGCGACACTTATTTTGGGACGGAGAGAGTACCATATACTATCACTGAACAAAGACTTTTTTTTAATAAATTCTCCACGTTAATTTTTATTAGACATGCTAGAAAATAAAAATGATTAATTCTTAATACAACTAGAAACGTGAGACCATCGATTTATAATACATTATAATTATCGTCAACAATAATAATCATATTTGTTCTATTCTGTTTCCTAAAAATTTATCCAGGTATGCACTAGATATAATGTAAAAGCAATTTTCATCTATACCATTATGAAAAATAATCTAAAATAATTTTAAATTTACATATAAGCTACCCACGCCTCCATTATTATTGACCATAAAAGTAAAGTAACCCTAAATCTGTATCAAAATAACATAAGTATGTAGTTATAAAAATTGTCCCCAACAATACTATATATAGTTCTAAAGTATTCACGTCAAACACTTAATTCAAACTAAAGTTGCAACTAAACATATATTAAACACACGTGGAGGTGTGGTACAGATACAACAAGAATAAATAAGGATAGAAAAGTACATATACAGAATAATGGATAACTAAAGATATTACAACTAGACAAATACAAAAGCATATGCATGCATGTAAAAATATATGAACATATTAAGAAGAGCAACGACTCAACTTTTAATCAGCTATGGGTCCTAACTTCATCCATGAATGTCTAACATTTATCTTGAGTTACTACCTCGTGTATAGCATGAATTGGTAGACTAGTTAGGTAAAAAAATTGAAAAAACCCGCTATATATGCAACTTGGATTTTGAGATGCCACCTAACACATTGTTTTCTGCAAACACCCACCTCTTGGTCAGTCTTTTTTTTTTATAAACCCTCTTGGTCAGACTTCGTTGAAAGAAGCACCCCACTATACATGAGCGTAGCCATTTATATCCACTTTTCACAATTTTTTGGAGCCATTACAAGCCATGCCAAATAAGTCCAGTTTAGCCTAGTGGATGGACTATGCTTATTCGCCGGTGTGGACCTAGGCCGAAGGTCTCTAGGGCCGCAGCCACAGTTGTGTGGTCCAGTAACACTTATCCCTACGTAATATTGGGTCATAGTCTCATAGACATTAGGTCTAAAAACAAATTTACTAGAGCATGCATATGTCGCTCCCTTCTCAATCGGCAATCGCGCCACTCGGCCTTTAGTAGCCAGAAACGTGGAACATGACCACATCTCTCGTCCCGGAAACAATTACGTTCCCATAATACAATTACATTATAAAGTATAGATCCACGTTCCCGCTCCCGTATGGGAACATGGCTTCTAAGGCTTGACCTCTTGAGTCCCGACCCCGACTTCCCGATTCGGCGATGAAGACTCCCGATTCCACCCCACAAGCCACACGCCCCACGCTGCCCTCTCCACGATGGACGCCGCCACTGGTCTTCCCCGAGTCCACCCCCACACGGCCACGCTGCCGATTCCACCCCCACGAGCCACAACCCCACGCCACGCTCCCCACGAAGGCCACCACCACCGTCCTTCCTAAGTGCGCCCCCATATATATGTCCACACCACCGCCACCGCGCCACACAGTGCCCTCACCAAGATAGTATGAGGAGGCCGTGGTGCTACTCTGGTTCATGCACCCCGCGTGCACCGTTGGCACCGAGGAGGCCTACGCCTCCGACGCGATCAACCACCCAAACCTTGTATATTTTGAGTTCTTTGTAAGGAGTGGAATTACCCATTATCCTATTTTAAACATTGGATAATCCATAAAATTTGCGGATGATCTATATTCGTCGGATTTTGCCGATCCATATCTTGTCTTGTATCATAATATAACAAGATTAAATTATCCATATCGATATGGATACTAAAAGCTCTTTTCCATTTCGTCGAAATTTGAATTCGGTTCGGATCGGAGAATTACCGGTGCTACTTTCACCCCCAGCATTAACTATATATATACACTTGAATCCATTTTAATCATGCACTTTGTAGTCGCTGGCTCGATGCTGGAGTATTTAGCTGTTTGCAACTGTCCCTAACTATAGATGCTATTCTCATTACATTTCACTGAACAAAATTATTACATACATTTCCTGATGCATCGGTACACTCTGTTCCTAGGATTCCACACGAAAAAAATCTCGCCATATATTACACATGAAGGTGAAGGATGACATTCGCTACATCCCCTAGCTGGAGCTGGCATTGATAATCATCAGTAGTCGTCGTAATCATCGTTGTTCCTGTTGAGAAACCGCCTGACAGCACCGACGACGGCGCCCAGCACCAAGAAGAGGACGAGCGTGTCGAAGCCGCCGCCGACCCCGACGGCGACGCTCGGCCCGGGGGCGAAGAAGCTGAACGGCGACCAGCCGTAGCCGTAGCCACCGAAGAACGGGACCCCGTAGCCGTACCCGCCCAGAGGCGGCGCCACCGGCGGGTTGATGTAGATGTTCGTCCTGCGCATGCACCAAACAGGATAACATTTTGCATCAGCAAACGTAGCATGCATGCGTGTCAGCTGATTTCAGCCGCGTGTCGTGCTACTCTAGATTCTTGCAAATGATTGAAAACAAACTGAACCATCAAGTTGCACAAGAAGGACGATCAAAAGCTATCCAACTTCACAATAATTCAGAGTTTCAGACATTCAGAGCTCGTAATCGGTGGGAGGAAGACGTCATCTAGTCTGAGCTCTCTGAACTGAACACGGCTGGAACTGAACTTTGGCAAAAGATGCAGTGAAAAAGATGTACTTATCAGACAGATTGCATACAATGATTCAAATCACTGTAGAAGGCGCTAAAGATTACCTGGAGTTGTTTATCCGAGGGCCGGACGACCGTGGCGCGGACCGGAACGCCTGCCCGCCGACCCTGCCGCCGGACTTGGCCGCCATGGCGCTGTCGACGGGGCCGAGCGCCAGCACGCCGGCGGCTAACGCGATCATCGCCAGCTTCCCGAGCTTGATCCCAAGATCATTCCCTCCCGACGGGACCTTGTCCTTGTCATCGCCGCCCGCCTTGCACGAGATCTTCGACGGCCTCCTCGCGTGCTTGGGCAGCGTTGCCGTGCACACCGGTCTGCTGCTGCCCGTGAGGAAGCACTGGAGAGGCGCCGGCGCCAGAGCCATGGATGGTCAGTCGATTTTGTCAGCTCACTCGCTTCTTCCTCTGTTGAACGCTAGCTTCTCTTCTCTCGTGATTATTGCCGACTGCCGAGTGGGAAGAGGAAGACAAGAAGAGGTGCCGGTGGTAGGAGAGGAGGGCTTATCTTGAGATGGCGAAGACGCCACTTGGCCGAATTGGAGTGGATATGGTGAAAGCTTCTGGAGGGGAGAGAGATCTTTTGAGCGCTCCTTTGTTCTCTTGCTCAAGTTGCTCTGATGTCTGAACAAGGCTGCATGGCACGGCACCGTCCGGTACTTTCTTACTCGCGTTTTCCTTCACTCGAAATTTCCTTCGGGCTTGGGGCATGAAAACATATATATAAGAGATCGGGAGTGGTACTCAAATTGATGTTGTCATGTGTTTTTGCCTGGTCGTGATTTTTCACACGCGTCGTGAAGCATTATTACTTGTAGTAAAATTTATGAGAGATCTTTAAATTTGGCATATTATTTTGGTGCTCTAACTCATAAAATATTATTTTAAAGTCTTTAAACTTGGCGCCGGGTGTCATCCAAGTTTCCATCTAATAAATTACCATTTTCATATCCTTAATCTTGTGTTTAGGTGGCATTCGAGCACAAACGGGCCTTGAGCTATTCCTCTGCTGACGTGACAATGTGACTTGCTAACTTTGTATTGACATGGACCAACATGTGGGGCTCATATGTAAGGTCCACATCTCCTCTCCCCTACTCCCTGCAGATGAGGGTTGGCTCTGGCTGTTGCTACTATTACAAGACGAAACATGGAGAGGAGGACAAAAGAGAACACGATGACATCGAAGAAGAAGAAGAACATGGTGCTCTCATCATCATCATCACTCCTCCTCAATCTTCTTCTTGATCTTGATGATTTGCCTTGAATGTTATGCTCTTCTTCTTTTCCTTTTCCACATGCTCATCACTCTCCTCTTGATCAAAGGTGTCATAAGTGATGATCTCTCCCAACGCTTATGTGGGAGTGAAGTCCTTTAGTCCCTCTCTGGATATCACGGTAACAATGATCTTGAACTTGGAGGGGAGGCACCACAAGAACTTATGTGAGAAATCATCATCATCTATACCTTGTGCCCAAGTGTCCTCAACTCATTGACTATGACATTAAGGCGGTGGAACATTTCTAGCACATTTTCACCTTCAAGCATCTTGAATTTGGCATGTTTGTCCTTAAAGAGGTACAACATGGCATCCTTTATGGTGGAGGTACCTTATATGCTTCCTCTAACCTCTTCCAAACCTTGTGCCATCTCCAAGTCTTTGATAGACTCGAAGACCTTGGGATCAAGTGCCTCATATATGCAATTGAGTGCTTGATCATTCAGTTGGAGCTTTTGTTCCTCACTTGGGGTTGGAGCCTTCAAGTCAGGCACTACAAAGTCCTCCTCAACAACTCCCCAATTCTTCCTCTCCATAGCCTTTAGATGTGCACACACCCTTCTCTCCAATACTCATAATTTGTGCCATCAAAGTGCGGGGGCTTGCCAACATTGTTGCTAGCCATAGTTGGAGGCTTGGCTCTGATATCACTTGTGGCTAGAGGGGATATATAGACCAATTAAAATTTCGTGCAAAGGCGGAACACTAGGCAAAACGGTGAGCAATAAGATAGCTCTAATAAGCAATACATCTAACTTAAGATTTTGCAAGCCTAGGGTGAACAATAGCTACTCAACACAAGTTTTAGCTTTTTTTTAGCACCCGATCGAGTCGGTTTCAGCTGGATCATACAACACAAGAAGGATTCAACTAGATTAGACGTAGAACACAAGACGATATAGACACAAGGGCAGTACTAGCGCCCAAATGTCCGGACGGACGCCTGCGGCTGCTGCACGTCTGCAGCAGGCAGGGACCACCTGCGTGGCTTCCCGCGTCTACAGCCCCACAACGCTCTATCCCTCCGTATCCCACATGCATGCACGGTGCTCCAGCAGCTGCAACAAGCGACTGTGGCAAGTGAGTCACATTGCAACATGTATAACACCCGATCTACTTTTAAAACATCCAGATGAAACTTTTGCAACACGCGTCTGAAGAAAGATGAAACACTTGAAACATGCGTCTGAAACATTTGCGAAAACACCTAAAACACTTGCAAAGCCATTGCAAAACATATGCAACATCCTGATAAAAACACTTGCAAACATATGTGTGAAACATACGCAAACATCCAAATAAAATATTTGCAACATACGTCTGAAAAAACAGATGAAACATTTAAAACAGATGGTTGTAACATACGTGTATAGCCATTGAAGCATATGCAATATCACGATCTACTTTTGCAACATCTATATGAAACACTTGCAACATACATCTGAAACATGCGAGCACCACCAACACTGGCCGCGCTTGTGGGTGCCCCTTGGCTCGGCTAGAGACAACCTGAGGTGTCCTGGCACCTGCGTCCAGCCACCATCGGCAGGGGCAGCGGCGGCGGCCCGCGGCGGCGACACATCCTGACAGTGCTAGGTTGAGGAAGAGGCTGGGGAGGCACTGCGCGAACTGAGGAGGAGACGACATGGTTGGCTTGGGTGGAGGAAGGAGGCAACAGTGTCGCGCGTGGGGCTCTGCTCCTGCCAGCTTACATGAGAGAGACCTGAAGATGGGGAGGGCGAGACGGAGCGGAAAGATAGAGAGATGGGCAAGGCGGAGTGGAAGCCACGTCCGAGTATTTCCGTAGACAACGTATTCCTATTCCTAGTAATTTAGATGGGCCGGTATGGGCCAACCGCCAACCTTTACATTTTCTGTCAACGGACACCTGGAGCTTCACACACCCAACTTGCAGCCACTCAGCCCACCAGGCCCAGAACCTTCCTGGTCCAAAAGACACGGGGCCTTCTGATTTCTGAACCTCCAGCTCCAGACCTCCAGTCAACAAGTCAACAACGACAAAGCAACACAGACACCCACTCGCGCCACGTCAACGAGTGACGTTCACAGAAGCAACACAAAACCGTCGAGCAACCACCACAACCAGCAGGCGAGCGAACCCGTGGATCCAATTCCATCAATTGGGGAACCTGCAGTCGCGGCGTATCTCGCCGTCGTCCGCCGTGCGGACCCCGACCCTGCCAAGCCTGGTCATCGCGGCGGCGAAGTCGCCGAAGAAGGCGCCCTGGTCGTCGGCGTAGCGCTCGACGGCGCCGCGGGACCTCGGGTCCGCGTACAGCACCTGGTCGGAGGCCAGGACCCCCATCCCGCCGCGCAGGTTCCGGTAGTACTCGTTGTCGAACCGCAGCGGCGTCGTGGCATCCAGGAACGCGAACCCGGCCGGCCCGCCGCCCGGGCAGCTGCCCAGGAGATGCTGCGCGAGCGCCGGGTCCATGGCCGGGTCCGCGCCCAACCGGTACGCGAAGAAGCCGCACGACGCCGCGCCGATCGTGTGACCCCCTGCTTGCAGAGTTTCAGTACGTAGTGTCACGCAAGAACGGCCGTTAGCGACGGGCATCACTGCACTGCAGGTGTTCGTTCGCAGGAGTAGTAGGAGTAAACTAAACATGGAATGCATGCATGCTCTTGGCGTGTTCCACTAGCTAGCAGAGCTGACACATTTATATATGCATGCACACGTGCGCGTGGATATGTACCTGAGAGCGCGATCATGTCGGTCTGGTTGAGGCCGAGGCTGGAGAAGAAGCCGTTGAGCTGGTCGAGGTCGAACGTGCCATGAGGAATCACGACGCTGCCACAAGTCGACACCGTGCCGTCGAACCTGCCCAGCTCCACCTTGTAGTCTGGCCCTCCGCTCTGCGGCGGCCGGCCGTACGTACGTGTTCACGTGAGAGACAGTCACGATCAACTCGAGAACGAAAGCGATCGAGGAGCAGAGCAGAGCAGCATGCATGGTTCGTTGGTGTTCGCGTGCTTACCAGGAAGATGGAGTCCCTGGCGGCGAGGGCCAGGATGTCGGCGCAGGACACCCTGTTCCGGCACTGCGGGTCGCTGTCCACCGCCGCCTTGGCGTTCATCACCGTGCTGAACCCTCCAGCTTCAGCGTCATGCCGTCGGGGCTCCGCCACTCGTCGTCGCCGGCAGCGTTGATCAGCATCACTGACGCGTCGCAGCCCTTAATTCACAGATCACAAGAGTGGCGGCATGGCATCAATCCTCTGATCGGCGTCAGTAATAATATAATCGCACATACCCTGACGGCGCAGTCGTGGAAGAAGAGCCGGAGCGTGGCCGGCGCGGCGAGCGGCGAGAGCGCCACGGACTGCTGCACGGCGCCGCGGACAATGCTCTCGAGGTTCGGGCAGACGCCGGCGTAGTAGTCCGGCCTCAGCTCAGCCACCGCCATCGGCGTGAACGCGAGGAGGAAGACGGCGGCCAGGAACTGGAGGCGCCTCATGGTACTGCCGCTAGGCTCGCTCTTAAGGCTTCTGTTTGTTTACTAATCTCTCTTAAATTAGCTAAAGCCGTTAAGCTGCATGAGCTCGAGGTGGGTTTGCAAGCGATGACAGCGTGGGTTTATATAGAAGACAAGAGGTGGCGTGTGGCATCCCCGCGCTATCACCCATTCACCCATTAATTAACCTCTTGTTTAACAGGTGTAGACAATTGGTCAATGTAAGACTGATGTTGATATCCGTGGTTGATCACAGCTCATGACCTGGGTGTGAGATGATAAAACTGTGGGTTCTTGATTCTCTCCTCTATTATACTTGCGCATATTTGCTTAGTTTATTGCTATATATCTGAAGAGAGATGAAGGATTCTAGGTCTAACGGCTCTGAAAGTCTGAATGTCCTTTCAGATCAAAAAGAAGCGTCTGAATTTCTGATGATCTTTAATGTGATTCTTCCGAGTTTTGCAGTGTGCAGGCAGCTCGAGGCAAGGACTGTCAAGCATCAACTATGTTGCCAGATTTGTAAATCATTAGATGAATCGGTTCCTTTGCACCGAAGGATTTCTCTGATCCATTTAAATTCTGCTATAAGTACTTTTCTGAAAACTTGAGA